TCCCAAAAAAAGGTGCGCACATTGCGCAAGAATTTTTGTTTGTCAAGTTTAGACCAATGAGAAGGAATCTGACTTGTGGCTAGGTAATTTGCTATGTCAGCATACCATGGATAACCAATGTAAGAGACAGTACCTGCACAAAATAAATTTTCATCAGCAAAGAGTTCATTTATTGGAGATTCATCAATTATGGTCTTATAGCTTGAAAGACGAGACAAATGATCAGCCACTACATTCTCTACTCTCTTTTTATCTCGAATTTCAAGGTTAAACTCTTGGAGTAGGAGGATCCATCGAATCAAACGTGGTTTGGCATCTCGTTTTGTGAGCAAATATTTCAATGCTGCATGATCAGTGAAAAAAATAACAAGAGATCCAACCAAATAAGACCTAAACTTGTCTAATGCAAAGACCACAGCTAAGAGTTCTTTTTCAGTTGTAGTGTAATTCAATTGAGCATCATTCAAAGTCTTGCTAGCATAATATATGACATGAGGTTTCTTGTCTTTTCTTTACCCTAAAACAGCCCCAACCGCAAAATCACTAGCATCACACATCAGTTCAAATGGTAAAGACCAATCAGGAGCTTGTATGATTGGTGCAGTTGTCAACAACCCTTTAAGCTTTTCAAAAGCTTCTTGACATTTTGATGTCCAATCAAATGGGACATCTTGTGACAACAAGTTACACAATGGTTTGGCAATGGTACTAAAAGAATGAATGAATCTTCGATAAAAACCAGCATGTCCTAAAAAGGATCTCACATCTTTCACAGTCTTAGGGGTAGTTAATTTTTGAATGACTTCCACTTTTGACTTATCTACCTCTATCCCTTTTGAAGAGACAATGTGACCTAAAACAATGTCATGTGTCACCATAAAATGACACTTCTCCCAATTGAGTACAAGATTGCTCTCTTCACACCTTTCAAGAACTTTTTCTAGATTCATTAGACACAACTCATAAGAATCCCCATAAACTGAAAAATCATCCATGAAAACTTCTAAAAAATTTTCCACCATGTCACTAAAGATACTCATTATACACCTTTGAAAAGTGGCTGGTGCATTACACAAACCAAATGGCATTCTTCTATAAGCATAAGTACCAAAAGGACAAGTGAAAGTGGTTTTTTCTTGGTCTTCTAAAGAAATCTCAATTTGGTTGTAACCTGAGTATCCATCCAGAAAACAATAGAAAGCTCTTCCAGCTACTCTTTCAAGCACTTGGTGTGAAATCAAAGGCTCAAATGATGGGGTCCATTGACTTATTGACATAATAGGCATTGGATCTAAATAAGTCTCGAGTTCTCTTACCTCCTCATTAACACATTCCAAAGAACAAAATCTTTCATCATGAATTAAAGTTCTCTCCAATGGATCCTTGATCCACACTCTCTCAAAGTGTTCTTGACAAACTGTTTGGATGAAATCTACCTCTCTAATGTCCTCATGTTCCCCGATTTGTTTGGAGACATTAAATATGTTCATCTCCATAGTCATATTCCCAAAAGACAATTTCATCACCCTATTCCTACAGTTAATTAAGGCATTGGATGTAGCTAGGAAAGGTCTCCCTAAGATGACTGGGATGGGGGCATTAGAACCTTGAATTGGTGCGGTGTCTAACACTACAAAATCAACAGGAAAGTAGAATTTATCTACTTAGACCAACACATCCTCAACGATACCCCTGGGAATCTTGATTGACCTATCAGCTAATTGAAGGGTGATTCGAGTAGGCTTGATTTCTCCTAAACCTAATTGTTCGTAAACAGTGTAGGGTATTAAATTCACACTTGCTCCTAAATCCAACAAAGCTTGATCTATCTTATGACTTCCAATAATGCATGAAATGGTAGGACAACCAGGATCTTTGTATTTGGGAGGGGTCTTAAACTGGATGATGGCACTAGCATGTTCAATCAAAAAAGCTCTTTCTTTCACATTCAATCTCCTTTTGACTGTGCATAAAACCTTAAGAAACTTTGCATATGATGGAACTTGTTTAATTACATCAAGGAGTGGAATATTGACTTTCACTTGTTTGAACAATTCATAGATTTCTGAGTTCATAAGATCTTGTTTAGGTTTCCCTAACCTTTGTGGAAATGGTGCTCTAGGAACAAATTCTAAATCACTCATTTTGACTCTAATTTTTCTTGAATCATCTCCTTTCTCACTCATCTCTTTCTCATTTATCTCACCTTCTTTATCACTTAAACTCTCATTTGTCACTTGTGTTTTGATTCCCTCTTCACTTTCGCTAGATTTCTCCTCTACAATACCTTTAGGAATCCTAAAACCTACACCTTTGTCAACAATCTTTCCACTTCTAAGGGTAGTGATGGCTTGGACTTGTTCATGGTTTGAAGGTTCACTAGGTGAGGAGGATTCATTCATGTGTACCTGACCTCTAGGATTGGGCATTGGTTGAGCTGGGATTTTTCCCTTCTCTTGAATGCTTAGTGATTGAGTCAACTTAGTTAGTTGACTTCGAA